GACTTGCTTCACTTAGCTTTAAATCTTCCATACCCATCCATTTTCCACCAAAGACCAGCTTTTCCTTTTTTTTCTTTAATGGATCAGTAGTAGTCCATAGTATATATGTACCACTTTTTCAAAGCATTCATCGGCTCTTGGACATTTGGGTTGATGTCATGTCTTGACAATTGTGAATAATGCTGCATTTAAAATGGATGTGCAAGTGTTTTTCTAATTGAGTGCATTCCTATCTTTTGGATAGATACCCAGGAGTGGAATTGCAACTCCCAATTAAGTAACTGCTCTCAGACATGGTTCTTGTGGAGTAAACCAAAGAAAATATCCTTATCTCCTGTTGTATTTTCTCCATTTTATATTTCTTAAGAAGCTCATTGAAAATAAAACAGTCTTGCTTAATGCAAGTACTCAGTAAAGCTTTGGGTTTTTTTTTTGTTTTGTTTTTTTGTTTGTTTGTTTGTTTGTTTTTTGCCGTAGGGCAAGTGTGCTCACTAAAGAGAGCAACAGAGACAGAGTGAGAGAGGGAAAGTGAGAAATCACCCCAGTGGGGGGAATGGCCATGCCACAATCTCTCCTCCACGCTCTTATCAGAATTTTTGGCACACACACATACATGCACACACGCACACATGCACACACACCTGGCATGTTTTTCAAGCCACTAGGCCTAGGACTCGAACTGCAGAATGGCCATGTGTGATCTACCTGCTTCAACCACCATGCCACTGCTGCCCCCTCAGTATTTTCTGGGAGGATAAATGCCAACTCTGTTTAACCATGTGCTTGCCTCCCCAAGATTCATTCCAACGTGCACCCATCGATTAGCACTAACATGATTGTATGTTGATCTTCACTGATGGGGACCCTGACTGCCATGAGAATAGGATTACCCTTGCTTTATGAAAGGGAAAATAATCTGGCCAGTGAGAAGAGAGTCACTTTACTAAAAGCTTCTTGAAAGTTTTCCTACATACTTTACAGCAATGATAAGTCCATGTTCCAGTACAGAAAAACAAAGAAGCACAAAAACGGTTGAACATCTTGAAATCATGGCAGTAACTAGCCTGGGGGTCAATCCAATGTCGTGGATGCCCAAAAGCCTGAACAAGTTTTTCTTTTGTTTTGTTCTGTTAAGGTTTTTGACATAGGGGATGTGCGCTTGCCAGAGAGATAGAAAGGGAAATTGAGAAATCACCCGCACCCCAGGAGAGAGAGTCACACCACAATCCCTTCTCCTCCTGGTACTTTGAGCATGCACACGCGCACACACACACACACGCATACACACACACACACACACACACACACACACACACACACACACCAAGCATGATTTTCAAGTTGTCAAGTCCAGGACTTAAACTATGGTCAGCCGTATGAGAGTCCAGCACCTTAGCCATCATACCACCTGCTGGCTCCTAAACAACCTTCTTTAAGGACATTACTAATCTGCTGGATAAATCAACCTTCACGACTTCCTCACAGGTAAGAAAATATATTAAGTCCATTTTAGCATGAAACAAATGCACGCCCCTAGGTATTTCTCCCTCCTACTACTTAAACACAGTCTTCTATTTCAGATACCTTTAGACATTTCTACTTGGATGTCCACCCTGTAGAATGTTCTAATACAGAGCCCTCTGCTTTTGCAAACGCCAGTCTCTAATCTACCCAGGTTTATCCTCCCACTTCTCTTCAGGACCACTCACGTTGGAAAGTCATGATCTTACATTCATCCACGTACTCCCTGTCATTGCCTCATCGCCTTGGGTCAGATCGTTACCTCAGGATCACACTATCACCCAGAGCACATCATCAGTCGGTACTTAGCAAAACAAGCCCAACTGTGTACGGCTTGGTGGGAGAGCAAAGTAAGAGAGGAACCACGGGATGTTGCCCTCACTTCAGAACTGATACTCTGTTCCTTCCACTGCTGTAGCTGTGAAGATTGTATCTTTCCTCAAAGATGCAATTCAAATGTCAATTCTACTCCCTCAGAAATAAATGACTCCTGGGTTCTCACCTACTGTATTTCTCTCACGGTCCTGGTCTTTTCCACCATGAGCTATCAGTAGAGTTCTGGGGGTAGGTGCCTCTCCGCCATGAGAATAAGGACTGCTTTGTACTGTTCCTATACACTCAGCACCTACATGTTTTATGAGAACGAATCTGGAAGTGGTTCCCCTGCCCCCATGCATAGATTTTAAGTACAAATGAGTTCTATGCTATTTTTACGGACTGGTACAAACTGGCGCTTGCATTAGCATGCCTTTTAATCCCCCTTCCTGCAAGGAAGGATGTTAACTTTTATTTATTACGTTAACATACTCAATCAAACAAGCAAAATCCCAACCCTGACACACCCTATTTGACTCTCTCTCAACTCTTAACAATCAAGCAATTATTCTCTGCCTATTCATTGGAATTTAGATAGTTTAACTTTTTGGGGTGTGGGGTATAGTTTTTACCCAATGATATATATGAGCCTTCAAGGAAAATGCTAAGATAAAAAATCTTAAACAGAACAAATTGAATATTCATGCTACTTTTCCCCCTGAATTTAGCACTGCAGAAAATCCCCTGCCTTAATACATGCAGGGAAGAAATTATATATATACACATACACACACACGAGGATAAAATCCTATTCTCCCTTTCTCTATAGTCACACCAACCTACAAAACAGAAACATGTGCTTCCTCAAAGTCACCGGAAGACAAACCATGCTCCCCCCAACAGGGTGAAGAGTGATGGCATGATGACGCTATCCTCTTTGGGACAAACTGAAGTTGAAGATACCCCTCACCCATGACCGGCTCTCTCAGTTGGTTTTGACCTTGCCTGTTGAAGCTGCACATCCCCAGGCCACGTGCATGCAGCCTTCTCTCCCCCACATGGTTAACCTCGAATACAGAAGATACCACCCACGTGTATTGCCACGTATTGCCTTTTCACCTCCCTCCAATAGAAATAGGAGCAGAATCAGAGCCAAGACTTTGTGTTTATTCGTGGCTGTATCCAGCAATGCCTGAAGCAGTGCCTGGCATGCACAGCTGGAATTTTAAAAGTTGTAGAGTGACCAAATCTTCCCTTGCTCAAAGGTGAAGTAGCAAATTCTCCGGGCTTACACAAAAGTACAGGAGAGCCAGTATCCTGGGGGGGGGGGGGAAACTCTGACAATGGTACTTCCAATTTGTACTAACAAATTGTTTTTTCTCACTAAAGCAAGATAATGTGGAAAAAGTTGTAAGAAAACAACAGAGAAGAGAAATCAACAGCATGAAAGATGAAGGCTTAGATGAAATGGTGTCATGGTCAGAAAAAATGTTAGATCGGAAAACTGAAATCATGATGAAAGAGTTGAAGCAGGCCCTGGGGACAGCAACAAGCAGAATTAACAAGGCAGAAATGGAAATGGTGGCTTTGTCCTAATTTATAAAATCACCACACAAGAGGGCAGAGAACATGGCAATAGAAATGCTTCTTTGTGAACATGCAGTGAGTGGAACAAGACCGTGTGCTATTTGTGGGAGCTGAAGCAAGTAGAACCTTTCTAAAAAACCACTATAGTGGGACCAGCAATTGGCATAATAGCTATGTCACTGGACTCCCATGTAGTTGACCCCAGTTCAAGTCCCAGACCTGGTGGCTTAAGGTGGCTTAAACTCACACCGGGCAAGTGTGCATGTGTGCCCAAGACTCCAAAAGGAGAATGGAGAAGGGATTATGGCATGGCCATCCTCCCCCCCACCCCCCCACCCCCGGGATGATTTCTCACTTTCTGTCTCTGTCTTTCTGGCGATTGCATGCATCCTATAGCAAACAAAACAAAACAAAGCAAAAAAAAAAAAAAAAAGAAAAAAGAAACACTAAAAAGTAATGAAAAAAGAAAAAAAAAAATCCACTATAGTAATACATACATGTTAGCCTTAAAATACATCTCTGAGCCTATTAATCATTTTATGCCTATAAGAATAATATAAATAAGTGGAGATAAGACCATCGAATCCATCAAAAACATTATATTGGAAATGTATTTACATGTAAAATATCATATATAAAAATTTTGAATATTGGAAACAAAGAAATGTACACAACAGTGGTGTTACTAACTAAATATTAGTAGGGCTAAACAATAGAGCCCTATGCAAACATCAAAAATGGTAAATAGAAATTATTTTTAAACACAGAAATTTACAATCTAATGTTAACTGAGAATGCAAGACAAAAGCTATATACCGAGTGAGTTCAAACACAGAGCTTTTTTGTATTTGAAATCTGAGATTAAGTAAGAATTATATTCTTCAACTTTGGAGAATTTGACCAATTTTCCTCATAAACACATAATACTTTAATAATGAGAAAGAATAAGTACTAAACAAAAATAAAAATTAGCAGTAAGGTTTTAATTTTCTCCTGCATTAACAGTTCTTAATTATATATTTTAAATCTATTCCAATACAGTTCTTACATCCCATCCTAGAATGATCTACTCTACTTACATTATTATGAAGGATCAAGGAAATTTATATTTTTACTCAAAGCATCCGAAAGGTCTATATTCTTACATTTCCACTCCAGATTTCTGAAATAGTACTTTTTCTGACCTATAGATTTGACTAAAATCACTGTGATTTTCTCCTTTTATCACTAGGTTAGCATAACAAAAGTATTTTATTGAAATCATCCAACAATTTATATTCATATCAATATTACAAAGTCATATTATATTCAAAGCCATAACTTTATCAAAAACGAAATTAAAGTTCCTCATTAAAATTTCCCAGTAAAAGCCTCAAGACTGTGGTAATGGTTTCACAAGTATACATATATCAAAATTTATCACTTTAAATATGTCATTTATTATATATCAACTATACCTTAGTAAAGTTGCTAAATAAAACATAGTATGAAGAAAGGCAACATAGTGAAATATGATTAAAAGGCCTAAAAGGCAGTAATGCACTGGTCGGGAGGGAGAGAATAAGAACCACCACTCCTTAAATGCATCAGCAAGTTTATTTACAAATGCAATTGAACACAAAGGCTCACGAGCGTCTGGAGAAAACTTCGGTATACAAACCATGGTTATTTTTCATTAATGAAAATAAGCACTTTCTATTGGGAAATGCTTAGCAACATTGGTGATGAAGAAAATAGAGCTCCCCTTATCAAGCAAATGAAATGTTACATAAGGTAATTTTTTTAAACCATATTACATAGGTGGAAAGAAGGATACAGAACAAATTCAGGGATGGATGTTAATGAAATTTCTATATACTTCTGCATTAATTTAGTATATAATTACAATAAACAGAACAAAGGCAATGACTAACTATTCCAAATAATGTTTAAGAATCCTTTCTAGAAAAACAATGAGATACCCTCTTCAAAACGCCATTGGAAAGCCAAACTAGATGATTATCAGGTCAAAAATAGTTTTTTCTGTTTTCATTTTTCCTTTGTGCTTTTAAGATGCTGAATTCAGAAAGTCAATACTGTACTTTTCCCCACACACAGAATTACCTTCTTATAAATAAACAACAAAAATATAGATTCTATCAAGACTACAATGTTCCTAGGAAATCTAAAGAGGCAAAAAAAAAGTTATTATTTTTTAAAAGGGAGCAAAACAGCACATATTTATAGATGTACAGCAGCAGCAACCGCCTCTTCTTCTATCTGCAACAGCGCTCTCGTATGGAGGCTTACGTCACATGGCGGTTGGCCGTCCAGCTGATCAGGCAAGGAGAGAAGAAAGAAAAGCGCTTAGATTCAGAAACACATGAGGATCACCACCTGGGACACATAGCAGTCGTCACTCAGAGAGCGGCCCAGTGAGGTAGAAAGAGTCATCTGTCACTCACTTGGAGGACAAAGCTAAGCAAATCACAGCCTCTGGGCTCTAAAATCATTACTTATGAAAATGGAGAAATGAACCGCTGATATAGAAGTAAGTTGCACTCAACTCTCTATTATTGGTATTGGAGGAGAGAAAAGGCATGGGCAATTTTGACAAGGATAATTCCAAAAATCAACTCTATTTGGCTTTGGAATTTGATTAAAGAGAGAAAAGTGCACACACATACACACACTGCCCCCCGTACACACCCAGCCTTGACCTCCTCCAACCTCAGTGTCATCGGTGTCCAGAGAAGGACTGGACCACTGGGGCAAGAAGGCTCAGAACCCACCGGCACAGAAAAGAGAGTTGACTGGGTTTAAGCCATTTTCAAAGCACTCTTCACATATGGGGCCACGTAAATACCTCAGAGTTCAAAAGCAAATGCTTTGTTGATACCACTTGTAATACCCTTTCACAATAAGGAAGAAACACATGTTACCAGCATCAAGGTTCAAAACATAAACAGCAGTGATGGAGTCTTGCTAGAGCTATAAAGAATACCCAACCTACCTATGCTAGCCTGCGTTTTATCACAAAATGCATGCTTACACGCAAAGTAGCATGTCAGGTTTTAGAAAAAATCAATTTTTCCAAAAATAACACCAAAATGTCACAGAATCAGAATGAATGCTCTCCTTTTAAAAATATTGTCTATACTGATGTATGATTATATGTTAACATACAGCATAAAGTGGATTGTTTTATATTACTTTTAAAACAGTTGTGGTTTAAAAAAAAAAACATTTTAAAGTTGGTCATACCATATAATCAAACCCTGTTAAATATTAGGTTATCAGGAAAGTCATAATACATTTTTGCACAGAAAAACAGAAAAATAACGTCATGACTTTCCCAACGACTAATAACAGAGATGAGCTAACACTGACAGACTGATTCTTAGTCAGGAAACAGATCACCTTGAGGGAGATTCCTTTTAACTGCATGTTTCGGTCATTAGTGGTCTGAGTCTGTACAGGTTTCTCCAGACTCTGTAGCTACCTGCAAGACACTGTCCTGCTTCTGCATACCCTCTGCAATTCCCTGACCCCACAAACCACCCTGGTGTGGCTAGTCCCCGAGCAGTGACCCATTCACTACACATCCTCCTTGAAGGGGTGGGTGAGTTTCTTAAAACCTAGAATCCTAAGGCAATGAGCTGGAGGGGGAGACAGCTGCAGTTTCAGGGAAATGCATGGGAACCCGAGGTCTCCTTAAAAGACAAGAGATTTTCTCTCTGATTTGCTCTCTTACATTTGAATCTGAGATAGCAGTCGTTGCAGTACAGTTGGTGGTTTCTGATTCTGACTTCGGCTCCTGAAGAAGAGCCTCCGAGGTCACACTCACAGGCCACACACTGGGGACAAAAAGGAACACCCCCAATCAGTCAGCTTAAAAAAACCTGGGACACACCCAGGGGAAAAGGAAAAATATGAGGAGAGAGGGAGCAGAACGCAGTTTCTAAGCTCTTAGGTACATTTCAGCAAAGGAAAAAAAAAATAGCCAAAAGATGATTAGTGGATTAAAATCAAGCCTACCAGGTAAGACATTATCGAAAGCCAATGTTAAGAGCGAGAATGATTATTTTAAATACACCAGAAAACAGCTAGAAATGACTTGCTGATTGATTTGAAGACATTGAGTCCTCATGCCCCCAGGGAAATGGAGGGCAAGGCACCAAATCAAAGCACCAAAGTGAATAAGGCCTGGATTCCTGGCACTTCACTTTTTTTATTTTTATTTTTTTACGGGGGGGTGGGGGCCCAGGTGCCTCCCTTCAAGACCACGTATTTCAGTACCGTGTGCTCAAACACTAATTTTGACTCATTCTACTCCTCCTAGTAGCAGCCCAAGCAGCAATGTAAGAGCTGAAACAGGCTGTGGTCTGCAGGACTCCAGGGTCAACTATCAGAACCTTTCTATAGCCCATTGTAGACTCAAGAATCAAACAGGTGTGTCTCTAAAGACAGATACTGAAAAAAAACAACCAGTTACGGCCTTAGCTTATGCAAAGTACTTTCAAGTATAAGCAGGCTGTGAACTGTAAAAAACATTTACAATGGTTTTCCCTGTTCAAAGCTAGGCTTTCAGACACATGGATAATTGCATGTCCCCACACCATTAAAAACCTCAGCAAGTTATTGCTAAATTATTCTCCAAGTATGTCAAAGATAGCATCTTAGAAAAAGCATTTACACAACTGAAAATTTTATACATAGAATTGTAACAGATTAGAGATTGGAAAGGAATACTGTTTCCAGATTTACTTTTTAAAACAAAATTCAATATTTGAGAATGGAGTAATAGCAAGCAATTTGTGACTCAAACGCAGCACAGACCGACAAGTAGAGCATCTAGCTTGTTAGTGGCATGTCCACACCTAGCGGCTCAAAGAAGCCATGCGCTCTCCAAGCAAAGCTTTGCAGGCCGGCAGGCTATTGGCATCAATCTCACCTTAAAACAATGTAAGTGATAACAAAGCCCCAGGGACTCGATGATCATTGCAGCTCCTTTGCCCAGAATGTTATTACAGTAGGAGCACACGCGCTTCCCACTGACAGACCTAGATGCAGAAGGAGAATGGACAGAGGCTCTCACCTGTGCAGCTCAAGACTCTTATTAAAAAAATCAAACTCTGCAGGACCAGCAGTTGGCGTAATGGCTATGTTGCTGGACTCCCACGTAGTCAACTGCAGTTCAAGTCCCAGACCCAGTGGCTTAAACTCACGCGCATGTGCGTGCGTGCCCAAAAACCCAAGAGGAAAATGGAGGAGAAGGGACTGCGGCATGGCCATCCCCCTCCAGGAATGATTTCTCACTTTCTGTCTCTCTGTCCTTCTGGTAAGCACACATGTCCTATAGGAAAAATCTTTCCCCCAAAAAAATCACACTCTGGCATTAACAGTAATAATAATTGAAGAAAGACTCTGTATATTAGGGGGAGAAACACCTTCATCAGCCAACCAAGGCAAGGCTTCACTGAACTGAAACCCTAAACAACGTCCACTAAATGAACATGTTCAGTGTCGTCGTCACGATGCCTTCCACCTCTATCACATCTGTACTTAGCAGTCATTGCCCTCCTCGAATCCATCAACAACTTCTTGCCAGTTAAATCTGCCAAAGCACACAGCTCTAATCACGTCATTCCCTCTCTCTGCATACCACAGGAGAAATCCTGCTGCCTTCAGAGGCACTGCAAGTCCTTTGTGACCTATCTTCTCAGCCTGAGTTTTCACTCTCTTTCTATGCACTCAGTTTTCTAGTTAAACAGAAAGATTGGTGCTTTGCTGTCGGTGCCTCGGGCTTATATAATGGCCTCTGCAGAGAATGAAATGGAAATTGCCTGACAGTTGCCATGTAGCTTGGGCAGGAGGGTTTCTATTTTACTATTGGAAAAGGGGCTTCTCTGTTCTCCCAGGTGGTAAGCTGACACCAACCCCCTCTCACTTCTGCATCCCATGGCATCAGCACAGCACCTCGGTGGCACTGAGCAGCACTGGCTGTTGAGTGTCAGTGCTAAAAGGGCCACCTCCTATGGCATGACCTTCTCAGAGCAGAAAAACCCACAGCCTGTCCCTCTGCTCTCTGAGTGCTCTCAATAGGTAAATAGGTCTCCTCTCCCCTGCCTCCCTAAAGACTTTGCCCTCCACCCACAAATCTATCATAAATCTTCAGCCCTTTTCTCTTCATTCAAACTCCTAATACACATTCTGTAGATTCTGCTAAATGGACCATTAAAATAGATCTAGATACAATGTGTTTCCTTATCAATATCTCATTTGGTAGATTAAAAATATCCCAATTAATATGTGTCTCCCCTTTGAAGAAGTTTATTTGTGATGAACCATAGCAGACACTAACAGAACCCCACAGTTGACCACAGAAGCATTGTTACACATATTTAAGCACAAAAATCAGCAGAGAAGCAGATCTAAACAGCCAACCCATGTCACTGTCTGAGTTTTGATCTGTTTCAAAGGGCAATACCTGGCCAGGACCGGCCTGACTCTCCCACTCTTTC